CATAAAATGTCCATCCATCGCCCACAAAAATACCCAGCCCTATTAAAACAGAAGGGAAAACACTATGCTAAGTTTTCTCTGCTACCTGTGCAGCCAGATTTACTGATATTCCTAGGATTAATCTGGCATCAATGATGCCGGGAGGTGGAAGAGGAAAGAAACACTACATAGGTGTGTTCATTTGAGTTTGACTAGGAATACCAGGGAGAGAGGTGACTGGAAGAGAGAGAAGAAAATCAGCCCTAGCCCTGCCCCGAGGCAGCAGGGGGGCAGGCAGGGAGTAGCCCCAGCCCAAAGTGGGGGCAGGTGCAGGCCTCTGTCCCTCCCTCCCCACCTGCCTCCCTCCCATCATTCTTGACTGGCAATTTGCTATTCTTCCAGTATAAGAACCCATTTCCTTTGTTCATATCTTGGCAAAACTTTAACCACTGAGCTAAAATATTCTATGGTGGAAATTTAGCATGGGCTGAATTTGTCTGGGAAAGTTTTAAACAAATGTTTCAGGCATTACTGTGAATGATGCAAGCAAAAAATACATTGTTTTGTCCGTGTGAAATTCTTGAAAATTTTTCTTTCAAATATTTTAGCATGAGTATGTTTTCAGCAGGAACTCAAAAAATGGCAGAGGTGGGCCTATGCCCTCACATTTATGATCCATCCAGTTTTGGCAAATTAAAGGAATTCTTGAAAAAAAAAAAAAAAAAAAAATATGGCAATTGCATATGCCCAGTAAAGACTTCTGAGGCTTTGATAGCTAAACATCTTTGAAGAGACTATTTGAACTGCTCAAGGACAATTTTCTTTCAGTTCCTAGTCCTGACTAGAGCAGTAGTTCTCAATCTCGATAGACTCAAAGCTCCCTTCACAAAATGTCAGTTTTTAGTTTTTACTTGATTTTGGACTTCAGAAAATAGAGTGATTCTTCTGTTACAAAAAGATCAGAAAGATCACAGCAGGTCAGACTGCTTTTAATACTGTGGATTCCTATTTGAAACCTCAGGGTTTCTCCTGTGAATCCTGTTTGCACACCTAACAGTGTGTACCCCACAGGACCCCAGAAAGGATCTCAGGGCATGCATTCATCACCAACTCATAGGCACTGTGTGTGATCAGAATATGCATGCATTATCCCCAGATAACAATCAAGCATGTCAACTTCCCTCATTTCCTACTGGGGTTGAGGACAGGCTGTGAAACTAAAAGGAGCTGGTCTCTAGTGTTTGCAATGAATCACAGGTAGTGAAGAGGAAGAAGCCATGCAATTTAAATTAAAAAAAAAAACAAAAATATTACTGAGGTTGCAAACTCAAGCACTCAAAATTTAGCAAGAGGCAATATTAAGGTTACTTGTGCAGTACTGCTTCCTGCCTTCCAGTTCACATGCAGTATGATACAGTCTAATTCATGGGCGGGCGATTATTTTGGGCAGAAGGCCATTTACTGAGTTTTGGCAAGCCATCAAGGGCCACATGACACGCAGCCAAGGGCAAATAAATATTAATTTTCTAAAATTTTTAGGGGCCCCGCCGGCTGGATAGAATGGCCTGGCAGGCTGCACCCGGCCCGTGGGTCACATTTTGCCCATGCCTGGTCTAATTACATAACTGGATACCATTTTTCCTACAAGACCCCCATCTCATTCACCACACAAGATATAGTGCTTGATTACTGAGCAAACTTTCAGTATTTCAGTTGTCTCCTGTATGGCGCTGGGTCTCTTACTGTTTGCTAGTCAAATGCTGATTTTGGTACAGAACTACATTATAGCGATATAGAATCTGACTTTTTTGAAAATATTACATCGAGTAAAGCCTCTTGGGTAAAGCAGGGGTGTAGGTTGTAGGCAGTTTTGGTCTAAGGACATAGGCAGATAAGGTTCTTTGGGTAAATCTCCAGTATAAATATACTTATTGTTTAAGTGTTTAACATTTCACATCCCTAATTTGAGCCATGATTTTTTCACAGCACTTAATGTTATCTAGCACTTCATATTTTCTAGTACAGCTCCCAGTGGCTTCAGTTTCAGTTGCGAATGCTTCCGCATGACAGACCCAACAGGCTCAAGTTGGATATCTAAAAAATGAGGAAGGAACACACAATTAATGAGCACCTCTGATCATGTTCAGTGAACTCTGTGCAAAAACCAGTAAGATCCAATTCTCCACAGAAGTAGTCAACTGTCTTAATTATGTGCTCCTTCCTCTCTCATTGCAAGTCTTAGAAGCTGGAAGATGTGCAATGATTACACCAAATGAAACTATGGTCCTACAATTTCTTGTGCTATATAGGCCTGTTTCATCCCTAGACCAGACTCATTTGGAGCACAGAACAAGCCCTTGGAAAAAATAAATAGTATGATTTCATTAAATGTTGTACCATAGTACATATATGCACACACAAGTCAAATTAAGATTATACAGATAATTATGGCATTTCCTAACTTTTGAGTGCTTGAGATAGAACATTGTTAAGGTTGCTTTCTACACGTTTTTTCTAAATGAGAGTATGTATGATACCATACAAATCTGACCTTGATATTTCTGATATGTTCATCACAAAACAATGTATTCCTGCTCCCCAGCCAAACTCAGTTTCATGGAAAAGGGCTAGATTCACACTAGTAACTAAAAGAGGCTTAGGGGAAAAGGTGCTTCCAACAGTATGTTCTCAAGAACACAACAGGCATTTCTTTTTCTGTGCCTCAGTTTAGTGTAGCATTTGGCAAAAGCACTGTGGAAATAAGCAACTGGAGCCCCAAATACAAATGAAGCCCTGCAGCCAAATGCTCACAGTGCAACATGGGACCAGTGTTTAAACTGTTTGTTATACTTAAGATGAAATACAAAGCAGAAACTGAAGTGAAACTCAAATGGATATTACCACCTACAACAGAACATGCATCGTTCGCAGAGGCTTTAAGATGACTCAAAAATATAAATGGAGAAGATTGTTAGCTGAGACAAACTGAAGACAATAGGCTATGAAAATATGTAGCTGGAGGACTCATTGAACATCTTCATTATTTTCATACATAGCAGTTTATACAATCTTCGTAAGAAGCATCAGAAAAGCAAAACATGGCTGTCTCATTCTTCAATATCAGTGGCCTTTGACCTTTTTAAGTATGAGATCACTTTTTGAATTGAAGTGCAACCCAGAACCTACTGCGCGCCAACCCCCCCGCCCCAAGCAAGTCAGTCTGTGGGGGAGGGGAGGGAAGGGATGGAGGGAGGTGGGGCAGATCAAGGCCCCCCCACAGGGTGAGGGAAGGAGTGGGGCAGAGACAGTGGTGAGTGGGGCCCCGGCCAGGCCAGGTGGTGGGAAGATCAGAGCCTGGGCAGCTCGTCCCACCACCAGCTGGGCAGGGGGCATGGGGCACAGCTCACCCCAGTGGTGGGATGCATGTGGCGTCGTGCTGTTCCCAGAACAGCTACAGTTAGGCTTGGAGTGCAAAGCCCAGCACCACCCCATGCACAGATGTGGGGGGGGGCATATGCCCCCTGGGCCTCTGTCAGAGTGCGCACAGTGCCGGGAGCCCCCCGCACCCCTAGATGAGCTGCCCAGGCTCCAATCCACCCGCCAGCCAGCCCAGTTGGGGCCCCCCCTCACCCAGTGGCAAGGGGTGTGGCAGGGCGTGGAAGGGGATCGTCCCACTCACCCAGCCCGAGCCTGGTGGCAGGGGGTCACGGCTCAGCCCAGTGGTGGGACACACATGGCATCGTGCCGCTCCCAGAGTAGCTGCAGCGCTGTATCTCAGTCTGTGGGGGCTGAGCACACGCATGCATGTGCGCTTATTTCCGCCAGACTGAGATCAACTGCCACAAGGCTCTGCGATCAACCAGCTGGGTTGGTGACTACTGTTCTATATGATGAGACTCAGGCAACTAAAGTGAATCTAAGCAGACTCGTTTTACTACATGATCTAAAATGCACAAGCCCAGGTAAAAGCAGAGGCAAACTAGACTTTTTTCCCCCCATATTAACAATGTTATAGGCTGCTGATGCAAAGATAACAGTAACAGCATTATTTTTCTTGATAACATCATTTTGAAGGAAATATAATGGAAAATGAACCATATACCCTAGCCAACATGCTTCTAAAATTTTCCCATGCACAACCACTTCTTACCAACCCTTAATTCAAGGCTATGGAAAATGTTTTAGCAAAGCCTGTCTGCAAAGTTCACTAGAAAATACAAATTATACTCTACTATACAGTACGAATGTACTTAGTATCATGTTTCCGATACTAAGAAAAGTCAGATTATTTTAACACTAGAGAAAGTAAAGATATTTTAATAGGCAGTAGCTGCCTATTAAATGATTTCTTTGAGAAGACTAGTACGTAGAAAAGCCGCATTCTCTTTTATTCCACGGTAAACCATATGTATGGACTATACTATTACAACTTAGTACCTTCTCTCTATTTTTCATACATGTATTTAAAAAAAAAAAAAATGAGAAAAGTAAGTTACATTCATAATCCTCTGCATTTTAACAGGATACTGCCATCTGATAATGAGCTGGCAAAGAACAGTATTATATATTGGCTCCCTTAAAAATGTACATTATTGCACCACTTTCCTGGAAGAGGAAGGACTCAAGAACCATACATGTTTAAGGGAGGAAATACAATATTTACCTGTATTTTTGTTCACAGATAACCTTGGAGGAGTATTTGCGTCCTCTGATTCTTCTGATGAGTGAGCCAAGAAGTCATGAAGCTTCTGTACCAGGGTGTCCAGCTTGCTTTCACTGTTAAAATAATAAGTTTACCTTGAAGTTACCCTCATCATGCTGTAATAGATTCATTGAGATATAATGAAAGTTTGAAATGAATGTTGTTTGTTCTCAAAAACCTTGTATGCATAGGGGAAAAAGAGGAACTGAAGTGTTTCCGAAGCAGAGGTGTCTTCAATCAAACATTGATTTCCAATATCAAAACTAAGCAAAAACTCAAGTTAACCCAAAATGTGTATAAACAGATTTAGCAGTGAAATGGGTTGGCACTTAGGACTAGGTTAACAATAAAACAAACAAAAATATTTAATTAAAATATGATTTACAAGAAACTTTATTAGAGTAACACAACACTGTTCATTTAAAAAATAACATTAAGTTAAAGGTTAAGCTTTATGCTCAACTATAAACTTCCTGTCCTAAATCATATATAAAAATAGGAAGAGGAAATCTGGTTATATGAATAGCAGCCTGGGGATACAGAACTCAGCAAAAAATACTAGAAGTGTACCTCACTGCCTAAAGAAAAATATTTCATACAGATGTACAGAATCTTAAGACGTATCTACATGCTCATACCAAATCAGCCACCCAGTTATTTAGAGTACCCTACAGAAAGTAATCAGCAACATTCATCTAGTCAAAAAAAATAAAATCTCCAATGGTCTAGGATCAGACTATTAGCTAACAAACCAGCACTGCCATCAGAATTGTAATCAGACAGTTTTACAGAACAGAAGCCATGGGTCATCTCATCCCTCATGCATATACACCATTTACTTAGCTATAAGACAGGCCCTAACTTAGCAACAATTATTGTCAGCGTTCCTTGCCAAACACTACCTTACACTACCTAAAGAATACGTATTCTTCTCAGAACACAGATCTCGTTCCAACTTTCTAGAGCCTCCTGAGCCAATATGCCCTTTTCTAGCTATTGGTACTTGAGTCAACTTGATTTTTTTTAAACTACTTTCAAGACATTTTGATGGAACATTCTAATTAGAAGTTTTTTGCTCCACTATGTATGGTTTAGAAGCTTAAGTCCCCATATCTAATCTATTCCCTTCTTTCTGCACACACAAGTTATTTATGTCAAATCTACTTGTGCCTTTTTAATTCCTATTTCCCCAGTGCTGCTAATGCAAAATTACTCACTTTAGGTCCCAAGAAACAACATGGTACAGATTCTCCTCAGTGATGTCATCATCATCCCAATGCAATGAACTACCACCTAAACTAATGATCAGAAATCCTAGTTGTTCCTGATTAAAATAAATAAATAAACCCACAAATTCCCTGGTAAAAAAGTTGCAAATGCTCTGTTAAAACCCCCCAAATCCATTATTAAAAGGCCACCTACAACCCTGCTGGTATCCCCAACTCCCACCCTACAGCCCCTGGTCCTGCTGGTGCCCCTCACTCTCCCA